CACTCCAACTAAAACAGTGCTTGGAACAAGTCGTGCTGCATACTGAAAGGGGATGCAGCAGTTGTTCCCAATCCCCTCTTCTTTTTGGTTGCTGCAGAACAGCATGGCAAAAATTTGTCCTCCAGCCCAGTTATACCATTCCACTGAGGCTGGAACAAAAGGAGAAAGAGCTGTGGCAGAAATAACAAGGTAACCTGCATTTCTAATGGAAGCTACAGCAGAACGTAAAAACCTTAATGCCATCACATGCAACTTTTATTTGCACTTTGAGCACCCTCTTGCTTTCTGAACACTTTTCCTCCAAAACAAATTCACTAGACTGACTCTCCCAAACCCTATCCATAACCTCAAGCAGTTCCACTGAGAACTGTACAACCTCTTGCCTTAAGCCCTGGGCCTTGCAGGGGCCTGAGGCCAACCTGGCACCTGGTAACATGCAGCATCCGGCTCCAAAATTTCTAGGGGTGCGCGAGTTTGGAAAAAGTGGGTAAATTATGTAGGCAACAATTGTGAAAACGTGATGTTAGGCATTATTTCAACTTCTTGGGATGGAAATGGATATAATTTTTACTTAACTGACAGGTGTGTTGTGAGAATCGGTTAATATTGACACTTTGATCTTTAAAGTGCTTTGCCAAGTATTAATTAAGCAAGGGTCATTTTGCACTTAAGAAAGCTAGTGTTTTGGAGCTGAACTTGTTTTCATCCCTCTCCTAAAATAGTAAAGAATCTACTGTTTGTTTTTCTACATATTCCCTGGGAGATAATTCTGGAGAATCAGAGGCGTGAGAAGTTGTCTGCATTTTGTTGTAGGAATCTGTTTTCCTACGGGTCTCATAGCCAGGCCTGCAGCCTGAGATCAAATGTTCCTGAACACAGGGAGAAGGGGAACTCCCCGTAATGAACATCTCCTTTATAGCTCACCTACTGATATTTCCTACAACGCATGTCACAAGGACACATACGAGAAGTTTATAACACACCACAGATACTCAAGCACTGCAATTACTGGTAAAGCATTGCCTCATTTCTCCACAGGGGGAAAGCGCCAACATATGGGCAAAACAGTATTCCAACTTCATCTATAGTAAGTGACATGAAGCATGACCAAAGCTGTGTGATTCTTTTTTTCCACAAGTCACCTGTGTAGAATGCTGCTAGAGACAGTGAGCAGAAGCTTGTTGCTGGAGCTGCCTTATTCGCAGCCTTCCCATGCTCAATAATGAGGGCAGAATGTCCTTCGTGGGCGCCCTTGTTACAAAGATCTAGGAGCAAAGGTGTGACATTTGGCCTTAAATAGCCCACTGAATATAAACCCATATTAGAGGGAAATAAAAGACTGTACTTGATAGCATATGGGAAAGTAGAAGCATAAATCTCCAGATGTGCTGCTTTGCACACCCCAGAGAGATCATTATACAGGGCTTTCCTGCTGCTGATGGTTCCAGCCTGACCTGGTGTCACAGGCTACAAGTGGTGGCAGCACTGCAAGATCCTCTCTTCTTCATCCTCGCTAATTTCTTTACAGCCAGGCAACACAAAGGCAGTATTGCCACAGAGGAAAGAAAAAACACAGACAACACAATCTGGGATAGATGTTAGAAGGCAAAAGCATGAAGATAGGTGTAAATCCTGTGTACTTCCCTCAAACTGTGTTTAGAGACATGGGTTTTGGGGTGACACTAGCAAAACTTCTGTGAACTCTCATTCCCAACTTCTGCACGTCTCATTCCCATCTGGTGCCCACCAGACACAGGAGATGTTGAACAATTGTTACCCAGAGCTTCAGTAGCTTCTGTCCCATGGATCTAAAAGGGGTCTTCCAGATGATTCAGGGGGCTCAGCCTGATTGAGGTCACTCAAATTTTGCTATGTAAAAGAACTTGGGAATGTACTAGTAACAAAGCTAAATTCTAGCAGGAAAATACTAGAAGTAAAGTTCCTTATGTGAACCCTTTATGATAGTCCCTATGGTGAGAGGCTTTTTGCACAGTTCCCCTGCCTCATTTCATGCACAGTACAGACATTACTTAATGAACTAGCGACTCTTCAATATTTATTTTTCTCCTCATTATCTAGTGTGGCTCTATGCCTTATTTACCATGCTATCCAAAGGCTGCCTAGAATTATTTAGTTTTCATGACAGAGTAGCCAAGTTCTTATTGAACAACAATTAGTTTTACAATCCCCAGCTGGATCCTGAATGAAAGTGGACATTAGGAGGGTGGTCATTCTTTTTAAGCAACTATTTTATAAACAAATAAGGTTAAAAGTATCTGTGTAGAGTTCCCAGAAAGAACCTGCCTGCCAGGAAGCAGAGCTTAGTGCGAGCACATGACATGACATGGTCCTCACCCTTCAGAAGTGTGTTGGAACCAGGCTATTTTTGGTGCTGGTGCACACATTTTGCATAGTAACCACCACTGAGAATGGAGAACAAAGCTCTCTCAGTGTTTCTTTAAAGACTTATTCCAGGAATCTCAGATTTCAAGACACACAGCAAGAAGCTAATTTTGGTATCTGATGAGGGCTGGGTGTTCTTCTACCCCCACCCTGTGCACCATCCCTGTGCTCTACTTGACAGTGCCTGCTCCCAGTTCCCTAATGTGCACCTCCACTTCCTTCTGCTTTCATTCACTGCCTCAAGGTTGTTACAAGCTATTACCAGCATAATGTGATACAGTTATCAGCTGATCATCCCCTCCAGTCCATTACACATTTTTCCCAGCCTTTCCTTATTACTTAAAACAACAACAACAATAACAACATCACTCCTGATCTTCTCTCTCTGCTCTTTACTGGTGAAGAAACAAAGCAAAACAACATTTCCCAGATTCCTCCAGTATCTCAGCTTCGGCTTTCAGCTCTGTGAAAGATCAGTCAGGAAGTTTTTTTGGAAAAGAATGGAGAAACAACTGTTCCTAAAAGTTTATTCCACTTTTTAGCTCTATGGGTAATCAAAGCCCAAATCTTGCCAGCTCTTCTGCAAAATGTATTTCAAATCCAAGTTTAAGATTTCATGTTCAATAACCAATTGACATTTGAAAGTTATTGGAGTTCAGAAGGATAAAACTCTAATTTTCATGTCTGATAGCTGCAAAAGTCAGATCAGATAGAAGTTCCTCAATTAGGAACTCAGTCTACACTTCTACAAAATTAAAATACCAGAAAAATAAGATCTACTGGAGATCATATCTGTTTTTACATCAAGGACAAGGTACTAAACTCTCTGCATGGATGGGTTTATTCCTCTGCCGCTTCATGGCCAGGCAGTAATCACATCATTTACATTGTCTATTACTACTGAACAATCTGAAACACAACTTTACACATATTTTACTTATTTTTGTATATGCACACACATGAAACAATATTATGTTTAGAATTCAACTTATACTCAAATGGCTGCTAAATAAGCATTTAAAAAAAAAACACAAATAAGACATACTGCTTGTTACATAACTCTGAGGGAACTGATGATAACATTTTCCCAAGTTTCCCAGGTGAAACAGTTAAAAACTGAGTTGGTTACTATAATGTGAAAGTAAGTACAGGGAAACTTCTACAAAGACAAACTCATCATACGCACATGGAATTGATCAAGACATTCCATAGTCTAGAACACTCCAGAGATCCTAAAGCTAAAATTAGTTATATGTTGTTTGTTTTGATTTGTTCAATTCCTACGGGGAGGTTTTAAAGACTTAATTTTATATCTAATAGGCATATACTCATTTCAAGCTGGACCAGATACTAGGGATGTAGAGAGGCACTGCACAGTCTAATCTGCAAATCCCTACCTTAGGTACAATGTTGTCAAATTGTGGGATCTCTATTTCAGACAACTCAGAATCAGCAGACAACTCCATGGAACAGATAACATTTTGCTATGCTCCTGTAGCACCTCACTGTTTTGGTGCTATTAGTCAGTTAGTAAATAACTTTAGAAGACAACTTTACAAAGCCTAGAATTAAAACTGTTCCAGCATGTTAAGAGAGGATCATCATCCCGCTTGACATCTAAGTCATGAATTCTGTACTTTATCCAGCATTTGGAAAGACTTAGTTGACTGCTTCCAAACTCATCAGGCAAGCTCTGGGAAATGGAAGGTGAGATCGTGGGAAAAATGTAATACAAAAAAATACTGGAAACAGATTTGTGGCAGCTAGAAGTTTATGACTATCACTGCTCTGCACACAAGAGACACTCGAAACCTCCCGGAGCATGACTTCCAGAGACAGGTCTTTGCTTCAGACACAAATACATGCGTACATATGCCCACACAGTTCCAGAGTTCAGGTTATTATGAAATACAGTTAGGGAAAGCAATGGCTTTAAGAAAAATAATGGGGTATTCAAGAGCAAAGTAACAGTTTCAAAAGGGTCTAGAAAATGAACCAAAGCTCTTATTATTAGAGAACTATTGACTCCAGGTTTAAAAAAGTGACCTCAAGTGAGCAATGATGCACTTAGCCTGGAACTTGCAGCTGCTGTATTTCATCCCAAATTGAATTGCCAATCCACAGTGCAATCTTCTACTATCAGCTCACATATCTGGGGCAAGTACACAGAAAAATACTGTATAGTGGATGCATTATTCCAAGTTAGACAAATTTCTTCTGGAAATGGAAAATCTGTCTGTGTTACAGAACCTCTTTGAGGTTGTGTTTGTTGGTTTTTTTTTTCTTCTATGAGCATTTAGTGACAACTTCATGTTGGCATTTCTCCTTCAAACAGTTCATAAACATGCAAATAGCTTTGGGCATGGCCCAGTTAATAGCATTTAGGTACACCTTGCCTACAGACCCGCATTTAAAAACACAAAGATACTTTATACATCATACAGACATGTATAATGTTCAGATCCAGCATTCTCATAATAGGGAAAGTATTACATTAAATGGTATTTTAGGTAAATCAGTTTGTCAATAACAAAAGCATCAATATCAATGTCTTGCAAACATGAATAACTGCCACCCGCATGCTATTAAATACTTACATTCACTTTTCTACTATGTCTTCTTCACTACAGTCAGGTTATTTTCCAGGACAGTGTTTAATCTTCTTACTAAATAAAAATAAAAATAAGACAGTGATTAAAACAATATCCATATTCATTAAGCGATGTTCAATCATCTTAAATTTATGAACTTTGAAATATTGATTTAAGATCATCTATAGTGTTCCATAAACGTATAATTTGTTTATATACAGTCAATTTTATTGCATTTAAAACACAGTTTTAGCACACCATAACTTTCAATCCTGCGGCTAAATGGGGTAATATTCTGCATTTCAGTAGCTACTGAGATTATAAATCAGATGGACAGTTGCTCACAAATGTACAACTAATTACAACAGAACTGAGAGCTCAGCTGATATATCACCAGAAAGAATGCCTGGCATTACAGATGGGGTATTGTATGACTTGGCACTCTTCTAGTGAGAACTTGAACATGCTCTTATCAATGGCAGCACTCAGCACCTCCCACGATCAAACATTTAAGAATGGAAGAGAAACAGTGCTTGTCCCTCTAGGGAAGGATAAAATACCATCTGATACCATTTAACATTACTGTATATGCCAAAAAGTAATTAAAAAAGATTATTAATCTGGACTGTTCAACTTGAATATGAAGATGACAATTGCCCTCAAAGATTACCCACGTCAGTCCATGTAGTGAGCGCTGAATGCCCCAACCACGTTCGTACATACGGATATTTATCACTACATTTTGTAAAGAATAAGATGCTCACTCAAGCAGTTCACAGCAAATGCCAACACAGACACTAAAAGATCATCAAATGGAAGTCGAGCTTGAAGCAAAGACCCAAACATTCAGCAAAATTCACCACCTTAATTTCCAAGCCATCTCATTTCAGTGCCAGCTGAAGCTGACTTTGAGACTTGCCTGACACTGGCTCCCTGGGGAGGTAGGAAATAAACCTCAGCAGGACTTTTATTTTCCTCTCCACGTGCCCTGAGGCTGCCCAGTACTGAAGTGTGCTTATTTCATTAATATTCAATGGGACTTAATTTCTTGTTTGCATTCCCCATATCTAGTTGCTGTGGTAACACATTCTTTAGGACTCCATACATTCATCTCCTCTTGACAATACAAATTGCTCGAAAGCAGCCAAGGTCCCAATGAAAAGCAGTCTGAAGAACCTGCATGCTCACAAAGATACTCAGCAAAACCGTGAGATGTAAAGCCACGGTGAGTGCTGTTAGCTTCAATATTTGCATGTTCCATTAGAAGTGTTTTCCACCCAAGACAGCTGAGTGGCTGTACTATGAAGAGAGGGCTGGAGCAGTAATGTAAAACAGAGCAAAGTGAAACAAGGATAGTGGTCAGACAGATGTAGAGAGAAGGTGAAAGGATCCTCTACCAGAAGCATGAAGTGAAGATGGAGAAGTAAACAATATCGGAATGAAGAGAAGAGTTCAGGTCAGGATTTCTCTTTTTACATAAAGAAGGAAAGAGAGAAACATGGGAGAAGAGCAGGATGAGGTATTTGGACATTACCTGGATGACAGGACCTAATGTAAAGAGAAGGTTTGGAGTGGATCTGAGAGACAGCACGTAAAGGGAGGCTTAAGTAAAGTGGCCAATCCATTAGACAGGCAAGAGTCTTGGATTTAGGATAAAGGGAAACAGATTGCTTTCTATGTCTTACTAACAGTGGAAATAATCTGGTGCAACACATGCACAGAAAGGGAAAGAAAATACAGAAGTAAAAGGAAGAGCAAGGGGTATGAAAAAGAATGACCTTTTCAACAACCATCAGAAATGAAGGAGGTGGAGGTAAGTCAACAAGGAAACAAGACTTCATCCAGCTGGGAAGTTCTCTTTGTAAATCTCTTTGTACCTCTCTCCTTTAGAAGTTTTTTGCAAGCATTACTGAATAGTGATGTAGGCATTTCTTGAACAGTTGGCTCACATCTAAGCTTTGCAGTTGCAACAACTGAAGTGCTTGTAAATTGAAATTTGGCTAAGCTTGGAAAAGGAATCAGATCCTGAGCTTTCACAGTCGTGTCCAGTCAGTTATACCCCCAGTAACAAAAGTACGCATCCTGCTAAACTTTATTTATTGGGAAAACAGGCTCAACCACAACTGAGGAACTGGAAGAGAGCAATCAGACTGTGTATGCGTCAGTTCTCACATGTGTACACTTAACATTTTAGTCTATGGTTGGTAACTAGCTGTGCCAGAGAATGATGCCACCCAACTGTACTCAATTTTCTACGCTATAACATACAGATCCTTTTTCATAATAGGCCTGGGACACAAGCCAGAAATCTTACTCACTGTCTCCCTACTTATTCAAACTGAGTCATCAGATTTTCCAGGTTGCTCTGCTCTTAGCCGGCATGCTGCTTTGGCTAGGTTTGGATGGACGTCAGTGGTACCATCTGCCACAAAGCTTCCTGGTTTTGTTTAGTTTTTTCCTTTTAACTTCTGCTTGTAGCACAACAGCTCTTTTTCAGTATCTTACATAGAGTACTGCAAGGAATACATCTTCCATGGCATGAGTTGGCCAGCTGGTCAGCCCAAAGTGAGTGCTTGAATTACAGGAATTAAAATATACATTCCTATCAGAAATCTTTAAGCTGGAAATTCTTGCAGGCTGACTGAAAGTCAAAAGTACCTAGAAAACATAGCGAGGTTTTCTTTAAAGCTGACAGCAACCACGAGCACAAACAGAGCAAGTGAGGAGATGCTCACACAAGCTAACTTCAGTCTAACAAGGTTGATCTTGACAGAACAGCAGAGGATGGAAGGGATTTCAGGGGGTCAGGTTGTCCCTTCTCTCTGCACTGGTTCAGGAGAGAAGGTTTTGCTATGGATCATCTTCTAGAGAAGGAATCAATCTTTGAACTGCTCTTTGGAGCATCCTCTCCCTCCACAACCCCCAGATAACAGTAGAGAGATGAGTGCCATTAGACCACATTTACCTCTTGTCCTGTCCCATTCCAATCTGAATGCATTTAACTGCTCCTACCTTCTCACATGAAACAATTTCTGACTTTCAAATCTGAAGACTCCTCTAGGACAAAGAACACCACAGACATGTAACCTAGCTAAGACTGTCAGGACATGTAAATAACCCAGCACAGCTGCATACAAACTCCCTATCCTGCAAGCACTCTATTCCTCATCTTGCAGCTGTGCTCTCTATCTAGGTTGAATGTCATAGGTACTGTCACTTCAAAAACATGGTTAGCTCAGGTTGAACAGCTGTGTTTACATTTTGAGCGCAGCCCCAGTGCAGCATCTCCTGTAGGGACAGTGGCTTTCTGAACACTGGAAGGAACAAACACAGCACTCATTTGATTGAGCAGCCAGTGCTGTTATAACTAAAAATGTTTTAAGTGCTATTTTTGCTTGTTTGCTTCTAGAGCTTGGGGGGGGAAGAAAAAAAAAGAATCCAAATTTCTTTGAGGGAGGTTTTTGTTGGTTTGTTAGAAAGGGCACAGAGGGGTCAGGGACAGAAAGTTGTGCTATCCGGTTCCCAGACACAGGCCTTGCTCCCTTGAGCTTCAGTTATATGTAACATATTGAGTAAATGCTTTTCATATAGGCATTTATACACCCACGGGACATTTATTTGGCTGTTTAGCTAACAAGCACAGTGCACTCGATAGTTCTGAGCATATAGGATAACACTTTCAGTGTTTCTGTTTTGAACTTAATTTTGAAAATGGATCTTCACGTTTCATTTTGTCACAACACTGAGATCACGTCCATATGGAAACAGGATGTAGAATTTACTATTAAAAACTTTAGGCTGTTATTAAATGTCAGCTTAAGACCCCAAACATTATAGTATTTACATCACTAATTAACTAACATACTGCTACACTACAATGCTCAGCTAATTCTGCATCTCTCCTTACCTTCAGCTCCCCACTTTACATTGTTCCTGGTCACTCCCTTCATGCCTTCTACACCTCTTTGACCTCAGAGACACTGGTTTCACTTCCAGCATAGAATCTCCAAAGTCATCACTGACTTCCTTTCTATCTCCTCCACTTGGCTACCTCAGGTTCAGTATAATCATTTTCTTGAAGCCGCTCCACATAGTTCAGCCTTCAGTATGCTTACACATAATACAGTTTAAACTCTTTTGCTTTGGTTTTCAGTCAGTCTCACATACTTTTGTCCACAAATTTATGTGCTATGAAAAGGCCCTGATCTCCTCTGCAAAAATTCACAGAATATTAACATGATGATGGAAGTGTTTAATATTGCTGGATGTACCTCAAAAGAACCACCACTTTCACTCAGCCCTTTCATTTTTCTCTTCCTGTAGTTTGCAGGGAAAAAAGAAAAAAGAAAAAAAAAAAAAGGAAAAAGCACACATGCTGGAGTTTTATGTTCTTAACATTTAAGTTAAAAGTCTCAGATCAAAATCTGAGTTTTACAGATATAATACAAGAAAAAAGACCAGCACAACTCAATACTGAAAACCAAGAATTTGTACTCCTTCAGCCTTTCTGAATATCCTTCACTTCAGTATAAGGAGACTACATACCTCATCACTTTATAGACTTTTCCACAGAGACTTTTTGACTACAGAATTAAATGCACTAGCCACTTTCTCTGTTGTCCTTTCTGACCAGTCTAGAAAGCCTACCTGTTCCTTGAACAGTATTTCATTGCAAATATCAAATAGCAAGAACATTATCCCATGAACTGGTTGATCTCCAGTAACTCACATATTAGGGCCAAGAACAGAAGCAATTACCAATGAAGGAGAGATGAGGTATATGCATTCCAGCATCTTCAGATCGTTATTTATCAAAACCTAACAACTGATACTGGGCAAAATTATACCCTGCCTTATCACTCACAGAGGGCAAGAATCACTCTAACCAGTGTGGAGTCAGCAGTGATCCACCAGAATTTCATACTCATCAAGTGGTCTGGTCTCTTGGATAAGGGTTTCATCCAATGCACAGCAACACAGAAGCAATCCCATTTTCTCAAAAGCTATTTAAGAAATTCTTAAATCTCAACTTCTTCATCTTCCAACAGCATATTTAGCTTGGTAACATAACAAGAATAAGGATACCACAAATAGTAGGAATAACTTTTAAGCCTAAAAAGCTATTTTAGAAATATCCTCAGCTGTGAGACATAAACAAGATGCCTGGTAGAGGGATGTAATGCAAAAAAAAAAAAAGAAAAAAAAAAAGAAAGAAAGAAAGAAAAAAAAAGGCACATATTTGGGATGGCCCGTGTAATCCACTAGTGCTTTTTTTAGTTGCAAATAAACCCGTTGTCCCAAACTGATACCATAAAAAGCATGCTAAAGAGTAACGTCAACTGTACGAACTGTATGATTTACCTAAGGGTAACAGGAAAGGTAGATTTTTAACACAGTAATGGCTGCATATTTTTTTCATCCTGAAAATGAAACTTAGCAAATCTGATGAATTCCAAGCTGTGTTTAGTTTAAACATACCCACTGACTCTGGCTTGTCTACGTGACAAGCTCAACACTGTGTGCAAAGCCAGAGAGCATACTTGCTAGAAAGATCAATACAGATTAGAGATATTCAAGCTTTTAGGTTGATTTTTTTTTTTTTCTTGCTGTTTTCTAAACTCTCCAGCTTGTGTACTGTGAAGTAAAGGTGATACAAAATCATAAACAGTACAGTCTATGTCCTTGACTTTTCAATGCCATTTGGCAAACTATTGCAAAATGAATATCATGAGAAGCAACTTCATATCCTGGGACAGGATGTTTACACTGTCCGGTGTCGGCATCTAATCAAACCTGCTAGCTTCTCTACTCTCAATACAGCCAAAGGAAAAAGGAAAACTCTTCCAGAAGGCAGCTTAAAGTGGGCTTTTTTCTCTTACTATTGGCTAGAAAAGCATCCCAGGTGCTCACGTTAGGAATCTAATTTGTTAAAGTGAATATCCTCTTTATGTAACAAAATAATGACTTGTTAATTTTGTGGCTCCTGGCTTAAAAAACAATAATTAGAAGCTCATGAAAAAATAATCAATGTTTTTTCTCTGATACACTCCGCACAAACAGGCAGAGACAGTAAAGATCCTCTCTTCAGTTGCTTCACAAGGCCTTTTCAGTTCTTAAGATAACCACACACAGACTTCCAAAAGTCTTCTCCTTTGCCTTTTCTTTGAGTGATCTGCTTTCTCCAGGTCTGTCAGGAGACCAGAATGGACTTATCTGACCATTCCCGAGACAGATTTTTCATTTATAACTCATACCATGCAATATAGTCTGCCTGAGAACAGGAATCAAACCTCTAACTCTTAAGTAAACAAATGCCATGGGCTTCATATTCTAGCTGAAGGTTAATCACTACATTGTTTACAAAACGTGCATTAATCTCAAAACCAAAGGTGAAATCCTATGGTCACTGAAGCAAGTGAAAGTTCCTGTAAGGCCAGAATTCCTGTCCAGATTACTTCATGTGTGTGCGTGTGCACACATAAGCTTTAATAAGTTCACATCGTTTCACACAGAAAAAGGCTACAGATGCAACCCACATATTCTTGCACTCCCCCTGTCACCCAGTGAAATTTAGCTATAGCCTTGCTCGGTTGAAACACATTTCTTTGCATCTGCCCTTGAAGAGGACACTACGCTCCTGGTCCCAGACAGACGAGCCATTATTGTCCAAGGGGCACAGTGTAAGTAAGTTCAAACCCTCCTTGTGCTCTCTGTTACTTCTGTGGCTGAATTTGGACATCACTGCTTTCAAAATGTGAGGACGCAGAATTGCTCTGACAGCCCTCAGGGCCAAGGCTGGGTGCGCTGGGCAGGCTGCCAGCTCAGGGCCTGTGTGTGCAGCCTTCCCTCGCACTGAGGCTCTCCCATCAACACCAGGTGCTCCCCATGTCACTAATGTCACCCAGAGCAGACAGCCACGAGCTCCCAGCAGAGCAAAGTTTACTGTTAGTTTTCCAGGAATTCAACACAATGCCGACATGGCTACACACTGAAAATTTCCCAAAGCTTACAAGTTTAGTTTTCCCTTCATTTTTCTATTCCCTCAAAGACCAAAAATGACACTGCTGTTCTCCTCTGTTCTCAATTCTCTGATAATCCTATTTTTTTTCCCTCTTTGGACAGGGAAAAGAGGAAGCAGAGGGAGGTGTAATGAAAAATGAAGCAGATTGCCATCTATTTTTGAGCTGATTGTAAAGAACATTAAAAGCGCAGAGCAGTTAATGGACTAGCTTGCATTCACCTAAGTTGTTGAAGTACTGAAATAGCTCGATCATTTCAAAATACCAGTATTTCACTTCAAACTGTGCACAGACTTACAGGTAGCGCTGCTCCTGCCATAAAGTATTCTACAGCTGCTGCTCTGTCTTAGCACACCCCCAGCAACAATCTTCCCCCAGCTCCCCTTCACAAAACACAGCTGTTAACTGCAAACTGCAGAACACAAAAAAATCACCCAAATTGCCCAATGATCATTACTGTTCAATCAAGGTAAATTGTGAGACGTTCACGGACACTGCATCAGAGCCTCCCACCTCAGAAAAGAAAATCAGTGTCTGTGGTATTACACCCACCCTTCATCTTCATGGAGCAGAAGGCATTCCACAGGCAGTTTTAGTTCTCAGAGCACTGATTTTCTATCGATCTGCTCTGGCCTGGATTTGAAATAGGATACCACATGAAATTGGATCCTGGGAGCCTCAAACAAGCCCAGACTTGCAGAGAAGGTTAAACAAAAGGAAAAAGAAGATTTTTTAAACACACGGTGGGAGTAAAACTAATTTTAAAATGCCCTCCATTTCTTTCGAATGGAAGTAATATATTATCTCTATAAAGTCTTTTATGTAAAGCTCTTGAAATTCTTTATTACTTATACAATGCCATTGGTGCACACCTCGCTTTAGAAATACGCATTTTAATAGTCAACCAAAGGGATCCAAACCACTAAGGTAATTAAGACTGTTTTTAAATTGGCTTCACTAGCAGACTTCTACCTTTCTCTGTGCAACTGACACAGTTCTGCCCCAGTCCTCTAGTCCCTTAATCACATTGTCAGTGGGAGGACTTGCACAAGAATTTGACTATTTACTCCCTAAATTATGAAACACATCCTGCCTTATTGGAAAATAAACAGGCATGACACTGGGAGCGCAAAGAGGGAGAGGAAAAAATGTGAAGTGAAAAAGGTAGGTAAAAGGAAGAAAAAATTGTTACTGCAGGGCTTTGGCTGGCGTGTGAGCCAGGCAGGCCTTTGCCAGAGCCCCAACAAAAGGTCTGATTGAATTTTTAGGTGTCTTCTTGACTTGATTTCTCTTGGGATAGCATGCTGCATTGCACATTTTATATCTTTTGTTTGCTTTCAAAAGCACAAAAAAAGAAATTGTTACAAAACCTGCTTTGAAACTTAATGAAAATCTCACCTTTCCCATTAAGAAAGAAGAGAGGAATGTGAGGAATGTGTAAAATACAGAACCTTCTCATTAATACAACACTAGCCTCTTGCCAGCCAGATCAGCAAGCATGAGAGCAATCCAGGTTTAAATACCAGGGATGTCTCATTTGTCCATCAAAATGAAGGAACAAAGCAACACTGCCTAATTATCAGCATTACAAGAACACTGCCCTCCTTCAAATCAAGCACAAGGGCTCTTCTCCATCTTCAGAGCTTCTCAGGGAATCAGCCAGCTACTTCTGAGCCCCCCTGCTTCCTCTGTGAGCTCTCTTCCTGATCTGGAGGCCGTCAGAGCTGGGAACCAGACCCCCTGCCTTGATTCCCATCATATGCACCTATTTAAGTCAGCAAGCCAGGCCAGCTGTCCTCCTGCATCCGCAAGAAGCACATGTACTCTGTTACTGTTCTGATCTTAAAGAAAATAAACATGAAAATAAGGAGTTCAGTAGAGTTTTGCCTGCCTGGCTACAATTTGCTACCTACTCTGCAAGCTTAACCTACCTGGCTTTGAAGAAGCCTTCCCAGCTCCTGTCTCCAAGGTGCTGTGCCAGGGCAGATCCAAGACCCCCCTGGGACATCCAGCCTGCAGAGCTGCAGCTTGCTCCTCTGCAAATAGCTCAAAAGGATTTCTGGACTGCAGGAAGAGGGTAAGCTTGTTGTTTCGACTTCACTATGAAAGATACATTCTTATTTTTTTTCTAAAAGGACCCATTCCAAACTGAGATATGAGCTGAGCTCAGACTGATACTGCCATATCTCATGGAGCAAGTCACAGCAGGCTCCATAAGCACAGACTGCAAACACTGATTTCAGCCCCCCTCCTTCCCCCCCCCATAACCTCCCCCTGCAGGACCTTAACTTTCCCAACGCTCCTGTGCACAACCAATGACTCCGAAGAACAAACGGGCTTGCAGAGTGCCAGTGCAGGTCAGCTGCCAGCACACAGGGAATGCGAGCAGCAAGCAGCCAGCTGATGTGACGGCTCAACTCACCAATTGCAGTCATTTCCAGGCTAATAATCTGCTCCTTTTCTACAGAACTTCTTTCTTTCAGGCTTAGAAGAAAGAGCACAAACTACAGGAAGAAGTGTTGCATGTTGAGTCCAAGCACTTTTTTCGACAAACTGAGGAAAACACGTTTGGTTCCACATGAAGGGAAAGACAGTATTTATAAAGGAAGTTCCCACACTTCCTGTTCAAACAAATCATTCCTTGCTGTTTTTGCAATTACAGCCCTACCGTAAAGAGAAGGGGAAAAAGAAGAGTCAGACATGTTATATTGTTTCCTTTTAAAGTCACTTATCTATGAAAAAGCAGCTTCCAGACTGGAAAGAGTTAAGCACGTGGGATAAACTGTCAAATTTTCAGTAACTAATTTACTCTTCCTGTAGACCTGGAGGAAATCCACAGTGGCCACAAATATTCCTCACTCCTTTCAATACAACTCTTTGTGAAATGAATTTTAATGGCCAACCAAAGGGATCCAAACCACAGATGTAATTAAAGCTGTTGAAACTGGCTCCACAAAGTGCTGAGAACTTCCCTGAAACCCCTTGTGGGGCCGTCTGGAAGCTCTCACCAGGCAGCTCCCTACTTGCCACGGCCACCATTGTCACTAGAACATACCAGGAGCTCCCTTCCTTTTTGGTGTGCGCTTTCCTCCATGTATAGACACACTTGGGGAGGAACATGAGCCAGCAGTGTGCCCTAGCAACCCAAAGAACCAACTATACGTGATGGGAGTGGAGGGGCAGTGCTGATCTCTGCTCTGTAGAGCCAGGAGTTGGGCTCCTTGGGCCGCTCCTTGGGCCAGCAGGAAGAGGCTGAATGTTGGCTCCACCTCTGCTACCAGTGACCTGTCCAAGCCAGTGCTTGGATATCTTTGGAGGTCAACATTGCTCTGGTGTTTAGAAGTACTTGCTCTCACACTGTGTCCATCTCAGGTACCATTCTCTGGGTTACAGAGAAAATCATGGCATCACCTCTCAGCCACCTGACGGCCCCACTGTGCTTGTTCATAATGTTGATGTTAAAAACTTTCCCATCCACTGTAAAACTATTTGACAACCACACACAGTGATTAAAGTTGAAGCGTAGGAAGTAGAGAGATTTCTGACAATCCATGATAAATCAACTTCTTATTTGAACTGACAAACCTTAATTTCTTCTGCTGTGACTCAAAGCAGTAGCCTGCTTGAAAGGTCAGTAGCCGCCTGGTACTGAAGTCTTTATTACAACCATATCCAACATATTCTCCCAATTCCTATCCAAAGGGGGGAGGATGGAAAACAAGCCCAGTGAGCCCCGCTGAAAATAACTCTTAAGATAAAAGATTTGATTGCTTTGGCACTGGCGTCTCTCTCCTTCTTCCTGAATCACAGTGAGGTATGAAAGGCTTGGGGAACTCCCCACCTCTACTTCATGTTTTTTGTTCATGTTTAATTTTAGATTAGAGCACAATTGAATTTGGACTTAATTAACCTTTCATCCAAAGAAAATCCCTCACCTTTCATTTATTAATTTCACTCGATACCAGCTACAGAAAAATAACTCCCTGCTTTTGAAGTTAAATAATTCCCAGACTTTGTTTTCAAGAACCAGCTGCCCAGAACAAGGGTAAAGAACTTCCCAAAACAACTACATTTAATTTATGAACTAAAACCACTTTGAATGTTAAGATTAAAATCAATTAGTTTATGCAAACCCTGAACTGTATTACAGTGAAAGAAATTCATTGGCTAGTGAATAATTAATACAGCTTGTCATTTGTTCACCTCATGTGCCAAGTAACACAAAAGAAAAGTCATTAATACAAGTGGATTGTAGAGAACAAGTAGATCCTTGTAGATTTATAATCAGTAAGTAGTTTACAAGGGGAAAAAATCTGACAAAATTAGGTTTGGAACAAATTTAAATCCACAGTTTTGTCATTTTGGATGAAACAGCAACAGAGGGAGAGGGAAAAAAAATAAACAAAAAACAAAAAGCAGAGCTGCATTTTACACTTGATAGCCACAGGTAAGGGGCAAAACGTGTCGTCAGAAACAAGAAGTCAGGTCCTTCTCAGAAACCACTGTCTTTGGACCAATGAGCAACATGCAGAAATGCAGCTGGCCCTACCAGCCTCCCATTCCTGGAAGCAAAACATCACTGGTTGGCCAAGTGCCTCTATGTGCTTACTATGGAGGCGTGCATTTTTCCAAACACACACATGCTTCTTCCTCTCTGACGTTAAGAGCATTTTTCAAGTCTGACATTCCACAGGTCCCTTGGCAAAGTATGCTTATTCTCTAAAACAGTAGGCTTTGGTAAACAACACACAGATTTCCTGGGGATTACCAGGAATACCCATCTCTTGTTAAATGGCACTGTAGTGAAATAAGATGACGTCAACATCATCTTAAGAACAGTGTAAATCATTAACTGCTGTACAATTAAAAACTGATCTAATTTACTGCATTTCTTAACTCAGATACTTGGGTTGGAATGAGTGAGAATCACTTGAGTGAAACACAAGCAAGACATGTCATGTCACCAGTCTGATACTGTCCTGCTTTCATTCTACTTAACCATTTTTCTCCGGCTAAATCTTTGCATCATTTCAAAGGAAAAGTGGGACTTGAATTTCTTTTCCATTCTCAAAAGGGCTCAGAGATTTAAAAAGTAGCAGTATCAGGAGAATATTCATCACCTTTTAACCTTGAATTACAGTACAAAAGTTAAGAAATGAGGTAGGTGTTTTATCAAAGAGTTTCTCGCATGCCTTTACCAACTCCATTGCTCGAGGCAACAGGGTAGTTATTTTTACACTGTGAAAACACTGACTTCGCATCAGATTTCCGCTCCAAATGGGAGGCTGACCTGCTTCCCCTCAACACACAAGACACCTTCTCCTTCCTTTTTCTCTTTCTCTCCCTGTCCCTCCGTGCTTTTCCCCACAGCCTTCTCTGTGTCCTAGCTGGCTAACACAGGATGTGCAGCCAGTAATGTTAGACTTGAACTTTCTACTTCCCGACACCAGCAGACTCAGAAAGCTAGACAAAACAAGCTGTCCCGTTTCTAGACACTGTCTGTGCACTGGTTGTAGGACTGAAACCTTTTCCAGTCAGAGATAATAAATGATGAGATTTCATGAAAAACGATGCGAATAAGACTTAGCCAACTGTGCTTTCCTGGGTCTGCCTTGTACACGCATAACATGTAGCCATGAAACTCATCTTTGCTTGTGAGGGCTGCTTTGAGTCTGCATATCACAGTGATAAGTCCAGCAACCCATTCCAGAGTGATGCAAATTTGGACATCTCCTCACTTCTGTCTCACTTGTAACCTGACTTTAAAATACTTATTACCTTGAAAACATAAATATCCTACCTGGGATTCCCAGAAGACTACTAGTTGCCTAGTTTTGATCTATGGCTAACAGCCCTGCCTCTCAGCTAATACCAAAGCAGTTATGGGCCTTACAGTTTGTTTGCTGCTGCCTACCTGGGCTATCTGCTCCACACCACAGGGCACAGACAGGACACTCCTGGAGAATCAGAGTTCCAGCCCACAGTGTGAGCTAAAGCCATCTGGAGGTGGTTGTTGGCTGGTTGGACTCAGTGGCTGTGCTTGAGCAGGGGTGCCCTGCATAATCAGAGGATTTCCAGAGGTTCCCTCTAACCTCAACCATTTTGTGATTCTTAAAAAAGGGGTAAATCCTGAGAGGCAGATGGCTTTACTCCCTGCTTCTTCACAATCATATCACACCTTACAGAATGGGTGTAATGTCATTTCACAGGAATTCACTTCACAGAGTGGGAAATACTTTGTAGTGTATTTTCCTTGCTGCAAATAACCTGCCTTCCATATAGCATCCTTGCTTGCTGGGTCTAAGCATTCTTTTTCACTTTCCAATTTTTTGTCTCCCACCAACACGCACTGCCACCAGCCCGTTAGCACACATTTTAAATATCTCTTATACAGAATATCAAATCGACTTTTGGACAAAAATTACACTTGGTTTCACGGTGTCCAAACCTGGGCATAGTGTTATTACTATAGACAGAGTGAGCATGCAGATATGCTTCATGTACTTGTAAAGATTTTCTCTGCTTTTACATATCAACATAATGACATAAATATTCACAAAACAAGGAAGACTGCTAAAAAGCAGCAATAGCTCACTTGACTTAAATGAAAAAAAAAAAAAAGTTTTTTTTGACTGAAAGATGCACTCTGCTCCACTGCATTCAGTGGTGCACAGCTTCCTGTAGGAAGTGTGAACTGGAAGTGATGCCAGGAAGGCAATGCCATGCTCCTCTTGACATGAAACCTATTTATTTTGCAGCTGATGCTGAAAAAGCACTGCGTGTATTATGTTTTGGAAAATGCCTGTATAGCCTAAGATCATGTCCTGGCCAATTTTGATTGCTGGGTGTAGGCAGAAACCAAAGTAACTAGAAACAAGTATTTTTGCCTCTAATTACGGAGCATTATAGCGCAATGAGGTCTTTGGTGAATCTGGCTTATTATCCCTCTCTCTAAAGAAGCTGCAGCTTTGCTCAGTAGTTCTTTTCTGCAGAAATACCAAATTATGAATCTGCTCATAATCCACCCTTACTACATAATACAGCATCCCACTGCAAAGCCGTCTAACTGGCCACATATCTGCTCCTTTCACCTTTGAACTATGGGAACAATTGGAAGCATTAATCCCCATTTTACAGAAGGCAATAGCCATTAAAGCAGGTCGGGTACCTAATGGGCTGTCAGGCTCAGGCAGTCTATCCACTCGCCTTCCCAGCTCCAAAATTGCCTAAGACCTGACTGACAGCCTCGGCAGCTGTGTACTTTGTTTCACTGCCAAAGCACTGTAAAAGTCTGCGCTTGCGGTGAATGAACTGCAAATGTAAGTTGGGATGGCATATTCTGATTTCAGTGAAGGAGAGAAGAAGAAAAAAAAAGCAGCTGCGAAAAGCTACCAGAGAAATACAGTTCAGGTGCTATTTGTTCCTGTATCACCGACACAGTTGGATCTAATAGAATATGCCAGATGTCTGCATCATAGCTCTTGATATGAACCCCACCATGACTACATTAGCTTTAGGATATCTTATAGCAAAGATAACTGTACTTACCATGGCACCAATAGAGTGCAAGGCATGGGACCGTGCACATTTTCCAGCCCTTTTTCTATGCCAAAGGGCTAGGGTTTCAAAAAGTCCAGCCTGGAAAGCAGACACATTCCTGAAGCTCCCAGAAATTTCCAAGAGGTATGAGATGGGAGAGAGGCCTTTCCCTGCTCATTTAGCCATGACCTGCTGTGCAGAGTTTCTTTTGAACAGTCTCGTAAAACTGAAACATTTTTTTCCAAACAGATCACAGGTCACGTAGGCTTCCCAAGGGATATATTGGTTACAGATGTTTTCATGTAATAAAATATTCCACTCAACTGCAGTATTTCTAACTGATAATGCTAAAACTAAACCACCCTTGTCTAATGACTATGTCCCCATACTCCTTACTGTGGTCAACACCAGCTCATTTCTTACCATTTAGCCAAAGTAATGTTTAATTTATTTTAGAACAGCATGTCACAAAGACAGGTTTGCAACCACAACATGATGTCTGAACTCTTCAAATACATATGAGAAGTTCATTTTTTGCTTATCTGGAGAGTTACTTATGCCTTAGTCTCAAAATTATCATATTGATTTGCATTTTAAAATAGTTTAATTTTTAAACATGAGTAATTTTAATAACTTTCCAAGATTCATTTTTTAACTTGGAGTTACTAAAAAACAATGTTTACTTGATTATCTGAATGGCACAGAGCTAATAACAAAACATTCTGTATGATTTCTTCCTTGCAGCGCTGCTATGAAAGGTTGTTGTGAGGATGTTTCTGCAATAATCATGTAGCTCACAATAAAAGTGGAATTAAAAAAAAAAAAAAAAAAAAAAAAGAGGGTGAGAAGGAGACGAACGTTTGTATTAAACATACTCCTGTAAAATCAGCTACAGATTTCCTCAAAAATGAACTCTCTTTCATGAAAGTAAATAAATCTCCCTCAAACCAGGGCACCTTTTGCACTGTACTATGTCTCTGTGAAAATTCATAGAATCATAGAATGGCCTGGGTTGAAAAGGCCCACAATGATCATCTAGTTTCAACCCCCCTGCTATGTGCAGGGTCACCAACCACCAGACCAGGCTGCCCAGAGCCACATCCAGCCTGGCCTTGAATGCCTGCAGGGATGGGGCATCCACAGCCTCCTTGGGCAACCTGTTCCAGTGCTTCACCACTCCCTGTGTGAAAAACTTTCTCCTAATATCTAACCTAAACCTCCTCTGTCTCAGTTTAAAACCATTCCCCCTTGTCCTATCACTATCCACTCTCGTAAACAGCCATTCCCCTTCCTGTTTGTGCGCTCCCTTCAAGTACTGGAAGGCCACAATGAGGTCTCCCCAGAGCCAGTTCCCTCAACCTTTCTTCATAGGAA